AAAAAAAATACGGTTCTTTTTGCGCGTTCAACGACGTGAGAAAAATTGCCGGACTCTACTGCCTCACATTCTCCGTCACGCAGCCCGGCCCGTCACGCGTGAATCTGCCAAGAGCGTGGCGTGTTCGTGGCGTGTGGGAAAGATGTAAGAATATGATTGGCCACTGGTGGTCAAGAGCGTCCGACCTTTGAGGTTGGCAAAACGACCGCGTCCGTCAACTTGCAAGAAGTCATCATTCGAATTTATTAATACAGTTGAATCAGAATGTCTGACAAAGGCGACAATCAAGCGGTACTATCTGAAATAACGGTAAGAGTTATTGCTTCAGGAAAACAAGAAAAGCTTTTCCAGTCTTACTTTGCTTTATAAATAAGATAATTCGATCATCGTCAGCTTGGAACTGTCTACATGTTTGGAAGGACTTCGCTCTTCGAGCTCAGGTTTGGTGCGTAATCAAGTTCATTTTGTTCCATGACTTTGATATCAACTGCTTTGTTGTTATTTTATTAGGAGAAAACAGTTAAAAGACGTGGACGCGGAAAGAAAAGAACGCCAACGAAAGTTATCAGAAAGGTAAAAAGGCATAAGCTTGCATTTGAACTTGTTTACAACAATGGCTGCGACCAGGTCGCGGTAAAAAGCCTGGACCTGGACGCGCTTCAAACTTTCGCGGTTCCTTGACTCGGTTTTTTTTTTCATACAAAGTAGTTTTCAAAGCTGTTCTTCAAATGAACGACAGATAAACTGATCCTAGACACAGCAGTGGAAGAAAACCTGCGGAAAAATTTCCTTGGCGAACGCTTCACTTGTTTTTAAAATGGCGCGCACATTGTTTTTCTTCTCGCCTAATAAATCTTTGCTCAGCGAACATCCTCTTACCGCTGTCAGTGTTCTTATCAAGCAAGGAAGCGTTTGTTTTTGTATGCGTTGCTGTATGGCTAGCGAATAAACCATTTGTAAAAAATAGTTAATATATTGGGCATCCTCCCTTCTTTCTCCCAACCTGTCGACATTTGCATCTGTGTAAATATAGAAAGAAATTATAGCAAAAAATAAATTGAAAACACTTTGCAGGGCTGCCAAAGTTGTCTCAGTTATTTGGGAGCTTACATTATCACAATTCTATTGTTATCCAACTTACAGTTTCATAGAGTACAAATACAGTGGAACACATTTTTAAAATAACAGAGTTTTAAAAATCTAGTTTTGCAAACTAGCTGAAATTGATTTGTATTTTCATGCATCCTATGGGCATGCCAAAAATGCTGCAAGATGTTTTAAAAAAGATATACAGTGATAAACGTCTGTTGAAATTTTCGGGGCTAGGTGGGAGAGAGGGTTAACTTGTTGACTTACGGCACAGTTCTTCTCGAGTTCAGTTTAGTAGCACCCCCAGCGACTGAACCAAAGGAGAATGAAAGAGCCCAGAACTCAAACTTTTAGCCTTTATCTATAATGGTCTAAAACTCTTGAATGCTCTTATACTGACTTAAGCATCTCTTGGCAAGTGATGCCCTATCTAATCAAATGTGAAGCTGCACAAAATTCATGGGAGTTTCTGTTTGCACGTTGAGTGATTTTTCACAGTTCACTGTACTTTCGTCCTCCATTTCCTAAACTTGAATGATAGTTGATAAAAGGACTGTCATTCTCATTGAGCCTGCATTACTTTGTAGTTTGTACAAGTATAGTTTAACTTTTTTTCTCTATCTCTCCTCAAGTCTAAAAAGCGAAAACAGAATGGGACAATAGAAGATTTGTTGGTAAGTTTGATTTTCTTCTATCAGTTGATTTTTTTCAGCATAATTTTTTTTACCAGTTATTTAGAGAAACCAAACTGAGTTATCATGCAAAATGGCTAAATTTACCTCTTACCCTCAGCTCCCCCTTCCCTTGCCCAGGCCAACAAGAAGAAAGTAGGTCTGCAATGTGTACATATAGGATGATATTGTTGCATAATTCAGAATAGATTTTTAATATATTACTGTAAACTGTAAAGAAGTGATTAAGTCATATGACTAGTAGTAATCACAAAGAAAGTCACGGGCCTATAATTTTTTACAAAATTGACCATTATAATATTGGCTGTTATATCAACTTCAATCAAATTAGTCAGCTCAACATATTTTTTCTTATGCTTTACTTACTACAGTTTGTTGTGCAGAATGTGAGAGGTTTTTAATAGTATAGCTACAATTTGGTTCAACCTTGCAGAAATTAGAAGACAATTAAAAAATTCTAAATTACTTGGAACCAGTTCAGGGTCTCCCTGTTGCATGTGGGGGATCATTCCAGAGATCAAGGAACGACTTCACTGTTATATAATTAAATTTAGGTATTCTTAAGCCTTAAGGTGAGCCTAGTTGCTTGCAGACTAATTTTAGGTTTTCAGATCAATCATTTAGGGCAGTACAATTCTTGTCTCTCCTAACAAATATCAACAAAAACATTTAGTAAAACAGTCATACGCCACAAAATGTTTTGGCTTTGACTAAAAATAACAGAGGCAAATCCTTCACTATAAACCCATCTCTTGTGTTAAACCTGTAAATGTGGTTTTGTATCTGATTGTGGCTGACTATTTGCTGAGCATTTGGAGGCTGCAATTGAGAATGAAATATCAACATGCAAACAAACCCTGAAGTATCTGTTGAGCAGCTAAACAACTTCAAGGTCTTAGTCTGTTGTCTCTCAATCTCTCAGCTTGATGTAAATACCTTTTTTTTAAGCTCCTATAATGTTGTACATTACTTAATTTAAATCATGGAACACCTGGAAACTAGCGAACAGCTAAGTGTGTACTTGTCCACGTTAAATAAAGTATGTCTATGTCTATGTCTTAGGAATGCAACTTAGCTGGAGTAGGAACATCCAGGAGCAGCAGTCACAATTAAAATTGGCCAATTTTCTCTTGAAAAAGGAGAGGCTGAGGCTTTTAATAACAGTGGGAGCCAGTCCCCTCTCTAAATTATGTGCCATGACACCTAAGAAAATGATTACATTGTACCTTGTTACTGTCAACAGGCAAGTGGTGAACCCCCTGTTCCTCCACAAGGAGTGCTTCATCCTACACACTCGCTGCCACAGCCTCCATGTACAGTGCCTCAACCACTACAAACAGTGCCACAGCCTTCACATGTAGTGCCACAGCCTCTGCATGCAGTACAGCTGCTTCCAAATATGATGACTCAGACTCCACGTACTGTACCACCAACAGTTCCTCACCCTCCACATTCAATACCTCAGCCTGCACATACAGTACCTCACCCTCCACATACATTTCCTCAGCCAGCACATGCAGTACCTCAGCCTACACAAACAGCACCTTCCCTTTCACATCATGGTTCTATTGAGGGTTCTTCACATCCATCAAGTGTCCAATTCGCAGTGCCTCCCAATTTCTTTCCTTCACCAATGTTAAACAGCACACTGCAAACTCCTCTGCAGCATGGTGTTCAGCCTTCTTTGACAGCCTCCCAGTCTTCCACCATGAGCTTACTTAGTGCTCTTCAAGATGACAAACTGGGACTGATACTACCCATGTTAGTGAGGATGGAGCACAAGATTGATCAGCTTATGGCAATGATGGGATCTAAATCAAATACTGGAATGACTGGGCTCGAAATTGGAAACCAATCAAATGCCACAACAGCAGGAAGCCAGTCTAATGCCACAACAGTGAGATGCCAATCAGCTGCCACAACAGTTGGAAACCAGTCAAATGTAACAGCAATGGGAAACCAGTCATATTCCACGGCGGCAGCCAATCACATCCATCAGAATGCTGACATTATAGGAAACCAGTTAAATTCCTCTACGAGGGGAACCCAGAGAAATGCAACCATGAATAACCAGACAAACACAAATGTTGTGAGCACTAATCAGTCAAATGTTACCTCAACAGCAACCCCGTCAAATAACAACGCGCTTGCACCTCAGTCTAACACTGCGGCGATAGCAGTCCAGTCGAGTGTCTCAACGATGGAAAGCCAATCAAATACCAGCTCGAATGGCACCACGTTGAAAAACCAGGGAGATGGAGACACCGCGATGGGAAGCCAACTTAAAGCCCTTACATCACTGTCATCATTTGTTCTCTCAAATTCACTCCCTGGAATGACGGCCAGTCAACGCATTCGGCTTGAAATGGCCAAGATAACTGAACAAACCTTGCCAGATGATCTAAACTTGCCAATATCGCGCGATGAGCTCATTGCCTTGCAAGCCAAGTCCACTTCTACGATGAATTTTGCCGTGCGACTGTTGCGCGAATTGTTCACGCGAGAGGAGCTAATTGGAAGAAACATTTCTGGAGTCCGAGGTAAAGACAGAGTAGATCCTGCCAGGATTGCAATAATCAAAGAAATCGTGTTCAAGATTTATCGAACATCGCCATCAGACAAAGAACTGCTGTGGAGGTATTGCCACAAAGCGATGGATTCGTTTTTGCGTAAGATGCAACGCCCAATTGTGATTCAAGACCAGGAATCTACGTCGTGATTTCTTGCCTTTTTTCGGTGTACAAAATAATCAAAGGGAACCGAGCGTCAAAACAAATGGGTTTATAAGAGAGAAAAACACTAAAAGAGTGACGATAAAGTGATTATAAAAAGGAATACATCACTTGCAAAAATATTTCGAACGATTTTAATTTCGGACATAAAAAGTGTCCAAAAATAAAACCGTCCGAAATTTTTAAGCGTCCGAAATATTTTCAGTACAGTATAAAACTTTGAAGTACCTCCAACGCTCTTAGTTTCCTTTATGCCGGAATTTCTGCTCTAGTTGAGACACTGCTTGACATACGTAACGGGTTGGTAGAATTTGTGATATTTTCTCGTCGGTGTATTCGTAAAACTTGAGACTGCAGGAAAACTATCATTTTCACACCTAATGTTTCAGCCACTTTGTAAGCTATGTTTCAGAAAAATGTCCGAAATTGTTGTCCGAAATTTGTACCAAATGAGATAAAAAGTTTCGCAAGTAATGTAACAAGACTGGTTAAGATTAATTTAAAAGCAGATTTAGACGATTGCTAACGCGAACTTGACTGTGAAATTGTTTGGTCTACGTATTGGAAGATCTTTCTGTAATACCCTCTCTATAGCTCTTTTATTATAACCTGAAGTGTATAATTTGCTTCTGTTATAACTCGTTATATTTCCATTTACAGCGTGTAAAACAATATTTATGTTACTTTTAAGTTGATAAACACAGGTGTGGACATTTTTGTTCTTTAAGTTATTGTTGTTCTAAAATTACTGTTGTCAGTTGTTGTCATGAAAAAGGGAAACCATAGTTACGGTTTGGATGAAAAAAAAAATCAAAATTTCAAGTGCGCGTTTCTTTGGGGCGATCTGGATCAGGATCAGTGATCCAAGATCACTCAGATCATAGTGCATCGAAGGAACCAGTAAATCCATTCTATTCAGATTCATCGGTTTCTCTGATGCACCATGATCCGAGTGATCTTGGATCACCGATCCTGATCCAGATCATACCAAATGAACGTACAGACCAGCAGATCTGCAACTCTTTGTCGTTACTAAAAGGAAGTTTGAGTGACTGTGTGTCTTGGAATATTTATGTGAACGTTGTATTTTGTTTTGTCAATTTAATAATGGAAAAAGCAGAGCCTGTGAATCAGTGACTGGTGGTACCGCGCTTGACTAGTCTCTTTAGCCTGAGTGAACAAAAAAACTGAATGTCAAAAGTCTTCTTTAAGTTTAGTGCGCTTTTTCAACCCTCTCTGGTTCGCTTCAAGCGCGCGACAAGAAACGAGTGATTTTCATCCGCTAGTTAGTTCACTACCAACCTCGACATAATAAGAGAGACTAGAGACTATCAAACCAGCAGATTAAATATTTAAAGACCCTTTTCGTCAATAAAAATACGTTTTTTTCTGCATTTCCGGAGATACTCCGTGCGTACGGGCGTAACGCATGTGCGTACCTCCGGAAATCCAGGAAACAATATAGTTATTGATGCAAGCATCTTTAATAATGAAATCGGCTGGTTTGACAGCCTCTTGTCTCTGTTATTAAAACCACTACAATTATATTGTCCCAAAGGTTGACACATAAACAAACATATTAATTAAGTTACCAAATACTCAACATTACTTCATGTATTGATTTGTGAACCTTTTCCCTTAAAGACATGGGAAATGGCATTTC